TGTGGCTGCAGCTGGCGTCGACGCGGTGTTGCTCGTCGTCTTCGCATCCGTCGTCTTTGACTACGTCGCGACGATGTGTGAGGACGTCGGCTAATCCAGGTCAGCAGGGAGGCCGCGAACCGGCTGCGACCACTGCAGCGGCCTGGCCCGCGGACCTTGCTCTTCACCGTTCACGGCTAGCTGGAGGGCGGTCGTGTCGCGTGTGTGCTTTTGACATAGAGTGCTGAGTGGCATGATGCAATGGTACGTACGTTGATGAAAATTTAATCCTTTTCAACAGAGAGACGACCTGGCGCTGGGACACAACACAGAGAAAGAGCTGGCTGGCAGAACACACAGAAGACTCGCTCCACACAGCAATCAGCAAGTGTATCCCCAGATTATTTCGTTCCTCACCTCCCAGCCGGCAATCGCACCGTGCAGCAGTTCCGTCAGCTCATTTCTACGAACGGCTTTGCGTTGTTGACGTTGAGCGTAAGGGTCCGCACGTCGGCGAGCCGACGCGTGCGCATGCCGCAGCACGATGCTCGCGGTGGCGGCGAGGCAGGAGGCTGCTGGACAGGAGATGACGGCACACAAGCAACAAAAAACTCTATACAACCTTCGGGAAAAGAGAGACGCGCGTGCGCCCCGTCCATACCATGTGTGCGGCCTTAAAATCCCTGTGTGGTGGCGGCGTGCCGTCCTCCCATCCCTCCCTTGCTCTCAGTTTTTCTTTCTTTCTTTCTTTCTTTTTGTTGAATCTTTCTTGTAAAATTCTTTCTTCCTGCGGGGGAGGCTCGCATCTCGTCGCGAGCTGCCACATCCCAGCTGGCGCGGTGGAGCGGCTGCGGCTCAGACTAGCGCGCTTCACAGCAGCGGAAAATCGCGCACCGCAGCAACCAGCAATATATGCCTAAGACAACCACAAGGCAAGGTGAGGTAAGTTTCTCCAAGCGCACAACAACGGTGAGGCGAGGGGGGTTGGCCTCCATGCGCACGTTCCCGTTCCGCACGTTCGGCGCCTCGCTCTACGGGATGCGGACCTGGGGGGGAAACCAATTTAGCCCGGGCCAGCCGACGGGCTAGTTCAGTTTATTCAGCAATTTTGGGCGTCTGAGCACTATTTAGGGTCAGGCGCTGCCCCTGGCTGTCTTTGCAAGAGAACCGCAGCAGCGGTGGTTGAACCGTCCGCGGTTCGAGCCGGGAGCTTTTGGCTCCCAGTTCGAACTCGCGTGGGAGCCGGTAGCGACGCCCGACGCGGGCGCGCGACGCGCGCGCGCGCGCGCGGCTGCAAGGCGAGGCGAGGCGCAGGCGCAGGCGCAGGCGCAGGCGAGGCGGGCGGCGGCGGCGCGCGATCGTTGCTTTTGCTCGGGTGAGGCGTGGCGAGCGCGTCGCGCGGTGAAGACGCCGCGCACGCTGAAAAGTTCTTGGTGAAATAGTGACCCACCGCGGTGCCGGTGTGGCAATGAGCCCCAGAGCATAGAG